GAGACACTCTTTTATGTCCACCAAATATTTAGAATAACCTTAGAAAAAATAACAGACCATGAATATACTGCACCCGCATTACCATCCAAACAGCTCTCACACAATGATAGATGAATCCCCATGTTCCTGATAACAGTAATAGGTTACTCCATTGATGCTGTACCCATGACATTCGGACTTTTCTCTAAATTTAAATTCCAATCATTATTTTCTTATCTTCGCGGCAGTTTTAATTTTTATTTACAATAGATGGATAAAATGAAAAGCCTGTAGATGCTGGTTAACTACTGTCGATTACAAGGAACTCAAACTTACTGTATCACTGGAAGTTCCTTCATGTTTAAGTGTTAACGGTTTAATAAATTTTATTTCTCCGATTAATTAACATCCAGCTGCCTATCCAACCTATCTCCAAAGTAACAATTAACTGACACCTATCTTACAATTCATACCATTAGTTAATAATAATAATAATAATAATAATAATAATTTATTCTCAAATAACAAACATGTTACAAGAGACATGCCAATTTACAGGCAAGATCAAAATGTTAAGATTAGCAACATATTTTTTTTTAAAACGGTATAAAGTTACTGAAACATTTCACAAGATTCATTGTTTTCTTAAAGATGGAATGTACAAAGCGAGTAATTGGCGCAAGTTACGAAGGTTGCGTTACGACAATCATCTTATGGGCTGAGAAATGATTCATGGTACAGACAGGTTTTCATATAACAAGAATTGATGCGGTGAATGTACAAAGGTCTGGTTGATATTCGTCGATATTTTGCCCTACATACAGAAGGTAAATTTGTCTAGTTTGCTTGTAACATGGAGCTAGTAGAGAAAGTATATTCCAACAAGGTGTAAATAAAATAGAGCGTAGACTAAAAAACATGCTTTAAAATCTACCATTAAACGTAAGAGAGCCTTGCATCACAAAAGGAGGGAGGTTGGGGTATCTGACCAGCGTTAGTGACGGCGGGGCGATAGCCACAATCTACCCATATATGTGTGGCAGAACATTTTGTTTGCTTACAGCTCCTTACGATATAGCAGGATTTAACAAGTCAGTGATACTGATGTTACTTCTCCTTGCCAACGACTCATATTTGTAACATTTCACTGTTTTTAACTTCCTAGCAAGAAATCCTATTACAAGCAGACCTAGACAATTATACTGAAAAAGGGCTCACTCATAACATTTTGAGCCACAGAGTTATAAGGAAAAAGAATGAATAAAATATCAGAAAAGCATCATACCACTGTGCCTCATCATTATATTCTGGAAATCAACATTATTAATACCAGTTCAGTGCTTCTGAATTTCCTCTAATCATAAGATTAATTGCTCATCCGTTTTCTTACTAGTGAATTGTCTTCATAAACCTACATAAGTGCAGGCGTACAATTAGCGTTCTAATTAAAAAAGTTATCTACTGAGTCCTTGTTCGGCTTTAAACAAGAATATTTTCTGTTATGCCATTTTTTATTTCTCTTTTTCAGCCCTTTATTCCAGTCCTTAAATATTGATCTGGATTTTTGCTGAAGACTTGGCTAATTTACCCAGGGGCCTGAAAATTAATTATCTGAAGAATATCAACCAGATCTTAGCACAGTTACCTCATATGTTCTTATTATATGCAGACCTGGCTCTACCTTACATTGTTTCGCAGTCATTAGCAGTTCGTCGAAACTCGCGTCAATTATTCGCATTGTACGCTGCAGAGTCTGGAAAATTTTAGCCAACCATATGAAGCCAATGTATTTAGTGAAATATTTCAGTGAAGGAACAACGTTTTACAAAAAATATATTAGCAATCTTAATATTTTGATCTTGACTGTAGATTGGTATGTCTCTTGTACACCTGTTTTTATTAGAAAAGGAATTATTATTATTAATCTATCAAATTTCAAATGGTCAATAGTTTACATTTACTAGTTGTTTTTCGTTTTAAAATTTATATCCTCTCTTCATAACTATTAGAACAGACTTGCTGTTTCGCTTTTGCGCTCAAGCTCCATATGCTATTTAACCACTAGAGGTATCGCATATACTGGGGGAGGCGTGAGTAAACAACACGAAGCATTCAGTAACCTCAATAAAACACCAAAAACACCAACATAATGTGTGTCTATTCTTTTCTATGTACTATCATAGTTCCACCCTCGAAATACATTCCATTGCGCTACCACAGGTTTCTGCTTCATTAGTGGCTGTGTTAAAAGTATTGCGTTCCCACACTCTTTTACCCCTTAGTTATATTTTGTATAAAGACCCTTACCAAGCGCAATATACAATACATATTGATTGTCTGTAAGCTTCAACTATCTGATATATTTTCAAAGCAGTAATTGTGTATATATTGTCCTGAAAAATGATTTGGAATCTGGGGCCTTAAACATAACACAATTGTAATCAAATAATCATTTAAGTGAGTCTGAAATAAGATAAACTGACGAGGTGACTGTTTGAACGGTTCGTTAATTCACCAGGATTCGAGACGGCAACGACTGAATTAAGGAACATGTGAAAAAAACATACTCTTATGTCTTTTATACTACTCACTCTCAGTATATGCAAATATAAAGTTGTTTGTTGAATGACATAAGATTTAAAATTTACGTTATTTGTTGTAAAGTGGTCTAAAACTCTGGAAACAACAATCATAAGTGATAATGGTAACAAATAACTTAGGTAGTTGTAATCTGGTTTCAACTTCATGGATAAGGGAGGAAAGATAAGTTGGTGTAACGGCAACAATGGGTAATACATCAAGGACAGTGACATACATCATGGATCTCGGGCCGAAATGAATCACTGCAGTCCAAATCATTCACCGGAAAACAGGCAAAATTCTATGTCTTCCAAGTGTTCAGTGCTTTAAGTAAAAGAGCGAGTGAATACATAAAATCAAAAGTACACTTAGACCAGTAAAAATCATTTTAAAGACGCGGAAACGAATTTAACTGGATGGACCACAAGTACGTAGAGCGAGAAGCTTCATGTTCATAGTGGCTAAAGGATGACCCTATGACGGTGAGTAAATACCCGAAATAAATAGTTTCAGATATTGTTGCTGAACCTCATTAATTTAATGGTCACATCCTAGTCGAAGGCTCCCGGTTACACATCAGCCCCATATTATTGTTGAGTACAGTGTACAACTCACTTTTTTACACTGACTGGCATGCTTAGTTCAATCTCTTCTCGACATCCAAGCCATCTTATAAATATGCCTTCAACCTTCATTCCTGGCATGTTGATTGACTTGACTTTAGATGTTCACGATCTGAAACGTGTTACGGACTAAAGCGTTCTACAACTCTGAAAATCCATGATATTTTTAACCCCACCCTGGTACATCTAGACAGGTCGCTGTGAGTTTCAAGGTGTGTTTAGGATATAAAAATATCCATTTCGGCGTATAATTCCGGAGTTCATGAACGGTTGAAAATTCGTGGATATCTCTTTCCACTTATGAAAGAAAAGGTTACGGTTATCCAAGACCTAAGAAACTGTGGGCACTTAAGACTTCGAGTTTCATCCCACTACCATTAAAATAACGATATCTTTTTCCGCACGAAGCAGAAAGTAAGTGGAAGAGATCCAAAAATGGCCATGACATCAACGAAAAAGCTGATAGGTATGATGGTATTCATGTACTGACCAGTGAACGAAAAGTAACCAGATATTATCAGTGAGTCCGTAATAACTGGATAATAAAACAATTCTAAGAATTTATGTTTTACAGACTACTGATTCCTCCAGCTGACTATTTCCATCTCCTCAGATCGCCAATCTAATCCATCTAGCATATTATCTCCGTTTCTTCTCCCTCGCTTACACTTCTATCCTCTCGCACATTCTTCACCACCAGTTAATAAATCAAATTAGCCATTTATCTACTTGGTTCTGAAATCATCTTCTTAGCAGCATTTGAATTTTCTCCTCAATATTCTCCACATTTCAACTGACTGATCTCCAGCCTGGGAACGTGATAGCTGCTGGTATCCATAAACCCTACCTTCATGAAACAAACATACTCATTCAAATCACAGGATATACAAACTCACAAACAACAGCCGACTGACTAGAATGTGTGCAGTCGAGTGGCTATACTACCATCCATTGGACAGTACCAGATACCTGGAACCGTACCGAAAGAACAATAATCGAGCGCAAAGAGATCAATTGGTTTATACTAGCTCGTTAAAAAGATATTGCATGTTCGCACACTACAAAAGTATTGGAAATTGTGTATATAGGGTGGAAATTTGACAGTCTTAGGTCATTTGTACTGGTGTGTAGGTCGGACCTGCTGAACGTTGACTCATGGTGGACCCTTTTTGTATCCTGTCTTGTAAATTGTGCAGATTTGATCGTCAGACTGCTAACTTTCATTTTTGATCAGTTATATAACTATAGTATCAATCCACACGTTATATGTAACTTTTTGCATAAATTACCTGCAGTTTTTAGAATAAGTACGCTCGTGACCATTCTGAAACCTGGTTTTTCAGCGTCTAGTTGATTTAGTTGTGCGCTACTACCATCAAGTGATTTCATTTCTGAAAGTCATTACAGTTTTAGTGGTAACTAAGTCCAGATTGACAATGATCACTCTAGATACTAATTACTAGCCCCTCACAATAAATACAAATAAGTACAGGGCAAAGAATAAGCTTGAGGGAGAAAGTGGGGGACATAACGAGGAGCATGTTATGAATGATGGTAGCAGCGCAAAAACAGAAAGCTGTACGCGTTTCTAGTACAGTTAAACAAAAGGAATACAATTGTAAATGTTTCTTGTCCACCAACTTCGTTTTTTGGAAGTATTCTAATGCACATTTTGTGTGTTTTCGCTTATTTATCTTCTTGCTTTTCTGCTTTCCGGAGTTCCGTACGCGCACTGCTCGACGCGCTCACGCAACAGACAAGGTTACATCAGGCAGGACGCAAACGTATTAAAGACTGATCGCTGCATGTATAAGTGGTATGGCTGGATCGGATAGTTGCCACATAACTTTAATTGATGGATCTACCATGGAGGGTGTAAGTATATCTCAAACCTTAGAATCATTTTCATTTAGGGTGGTCAAATCCTGCGTAATGCTGTTTCAATAGCAGCAATAACAAAAAAACCAATTGAAGTATATAGCATTCGTGCTGGCCGACAAAAGCCGGGTCTCAAGTGATTATTTTTTTCAGTGGTAGATTTTGTTCTTAGAAGTCAACATCTAGCTGCTTTAGAACTTACTGGAAAAGTGTGTTGTGGTCATTTATCGTCTTGTTCAGTTGGATCTACGAAAATTCGGTTAGTGCCTGGTCAAATTTCCCCCGGTTTTTATGAAGCTGATGCGAAAACAGCAGGGTATGTCAAAAGGATTATTTACAAGCCTTAAATGAGGTCTGTGTCTCTAATGCTACAAGCTGTAGCGCCAGTATTAGTATTTGCTCCTAGTCGGAGTGAATTGTTGTTGCGTGGTGGTACGGATGCATTGTTTGCACCTCCGATCAACTATATGGTTGAAGTAACTTATTAAATTCAATTGCCTAACGTCGTTAGGTAACATCACATTACTTCAGAAAAATGGGTCTAATTTATGAGGTGGACATTGTTCGACGGTGAGTGCTCGTCAGTCGTAAGACATAAAGACAGAGGCTTTTATCCACTAGGTGGTGGGATTGTCAAAGTAATATTTTCACCCCTGAAAGAACCAATCTATCCCATTTTGTTGCTAAATTCAGGAACCGTTGAGGCAGTTGGTGGTTATGCTTTCGTAGCAGGAAGAGTTCCACTGAAGGTAAATTTACTTTTCTTGGGAAATCTGAAATCAGTATACACTTTTGAAATGACCTGTGTACGAAGTCACTTTTTATCAGTCCAAAACATAGTTCAAACCTGATAACTATATATCCTTAGTAGCTTGAATCACTAGATGAGGGGTTTATAATCTTGTCTCTTTTTCGTATTGTGTAATCTGTCCTTGATGACGTGTCTAGTGGTTCTCAAAACTTGTGTCCTGGTTATGATATCTATGTGCTTTGCAGCCACTAAATTTGCTGGAATTCCCACGTAGTGCGCAGTTGGTAGTAGTCGTCCACATCGCAGTGGTTGTTTTTATTTCACAAGCGTTATTAGCGTGTGCGAACTTTACAGTTTAATAAATAATAGTGTTGTACATAGGGCACATGTTAGTTAATTTTCCTGTCCTTAGAAATGATTGGTGCACAACAGGACAGTTTATATTTTGAAACCAGTCTACAGGATTACTTTTATTCCTAAAAGTTGTACATTTACATACGATGAGTTACCGTTCAAATTTTCACTTACTAATTAAAGTCAATACATAACCCAACAGTATTAAAATGTTCGTTTTCTCAAAACATCGTTTAGCCATTTTTGCAAAGGTATTTAATATCAGCAGTAATCAAATTTGTACTGCAAAATAACATCTCTAACATTTTGTACTTTCTAAAACTTATTTTGCAGATTTTGATTGCAGCATAGTATAATTTATCTTAAACTGTTATTATTTTTGGCTGCATTAATTTAGGTTGCTTATGAAATGAAAGATGAAGCATTAAGTTGTTTCAGCAATTATTTCTCGTGTCCTATAAGTATTGAATCATTTCAAGAAAGTGGTAATCGTTGTAAAGGTGATGTTGCGGCATTTATGTACGTTACTAGTTATGTTTTTTCGTGTGCTTTGCTATTCATGTATTCGTTTGTCTGCTTATTTAGTTTTATTATCATCTGTGCTTCTCACCGATCGTCAATGCATACTAATGCTGCCGTTTCATGACTATAGTAGCATTTCCATACGTTTCATTGTTTATGATACTAATTAAATGTGGAAATTATTATGTAATCCTAATTTTAGCTCTAACAGCACACGGAATCACCTCGTTTGTGATCAAACCCCATCTTCACCAAATCCTACTTCCTTTCATTTTGTCTCCGACATCAGCTTCTCTTACTAATGATAACTATCTGCTCTACTAAAACTGCTTTTCAAGCTAGATGTAGGAGCTCTTGTTATCGTAACCTTGTATCGACTTGAACAACTGGCATCATTAGCTATGGTCATAGAATCTCATGTTTTAGATATATAAAGTGTCTCCGAAGCACTCATGCAGAATCCAAGCATGTTCATTCCCTTGACCTTATCTAGCTACTATGTGACAAACCTTTCGTGTCCATTGACGTGACAGCACCTTTCCTAGGGCATGCCGCTGTGGCTCTCGACTGGATCACTGTTGATAGTTTACTGTGCTGTCCGTCCCAACGGTAGTGTAAAAAATCAGAAAAATGGTTGTGCAACGTTTTTCGTACATCGTTTCTGCCTAGACCCGCAATAATCGCATCTCAGATGAAGTAAAAGACAAATTTTACAGGAAACTTCATGGTCTTCTTAAAGCGAGGCTCTCAGACGTAGTAGTCGTCGAGGGGAATTTCAGCACTCAAGTAGACAGACTAAATCAAAGTGAAAAACACTAAGGATGGGTCTTAGCGAATAATGGCCCGTGACTTGACTCCAGTTTGGACAAATGATCGAATATGGGATGAAATAAATCTTCCTTTCCATTTCTGTATATCATACTTAGGCAAACCCTGTTTGTGTGACCGTTCAAAGACAAAAAGATTAGTGATTCATTTAAGGAAGAGTTAGTTCGGTCGTTGAGAAACAAGGTCTAGAAAGATATCCAGACAGCTGTAAGTATAGCAAAATTATATATTAAACAACTTAAACCAAAAGGTTAGTGAAGACCATTAGGTTTCAGGCTTGATAAATAATCCTTATAGTCTAAGATAGTAATAAGGACTGCAGGAAGTGGAAGCGTAAACTAACAATAAGTTATCGCAACGATTTTGAGCAGTGTTAGGCGACGAAAGCAAGATAGGTGAGATATTTAGTCGATAGGTAACATCAGACGATTCCACCGGATGAATAAACGAACAGGTATTAAAAAGGCAGATGTTAGTGAGACTATCTCAGAAAAAAGGGAGTTGTTATTTATTCGATCAAGGAGATTTGAAAAATGAGGTCAACACTTTGGACAACAGTTCAATTACCTTCCACCCCTAAACAAACTGTGAAATTGACCCAATTGAAAAAACTAGGTAATTTTAAATGGAATAAAGCAGAAGACCTTGATAATTTAACTTAGAATCGTCAACTGAATTTTCTCACTTTAGTTGGCTGTGGTATTAGCTAGAGTTTGTAAACTGGATATGATCCTATCCAACCGGTGCGATTGCTAGTCTTTTCAGAACATAATGGAAGACAAGCATGTTCTTACGTTAGCCATAGAAGCCCGACCGTAGCTGCTACCTTGACGTGGTAGTCGGGCTTGCCTATCGTGATAACCCAACCGAGCTATACTGGCTGGAACACATGTTCCTGCAGGTCCTACCATGCCAGGCTGGTCGATTGGAGAACGACGAGACTAAAAGCAGCTACCCAAGGTCTGGGGGCGAAGTTGTACTGCTGACTGCAGAGAGGTGTGACAGCAGTAAGGTGTTTCCCTCGAACAACCAGCATCTGCAGCGATGCTGCCTTCTCACAAGGAAGGAAGGGTTAGAAAAGATCGACCCTAGAAATGTCACACCTCAACCTACCTCACGGATTTCCGTCTCCTTGCGTAAGGGTGCCCACTAAGGGCCTTTAAGAGCGGAGCTAATCCTCAAAAAACCTTTAACAAAAAGGCCGTGCGTGACCGGCATCAAGCACTTGTCCCTTGGACTCTGCGGTCACGCACCCAGGTCTCTAAGACCAACACTAATCTATCTTCCTTTTCAGGTCCCTCAAGAAACAACCTCCCACGGTGTGGGCAGCCGGGAAGTCACAACCGCCCTCATACCCGTAACAGCACACGAGACCAAATTGATCAAAATCAAATCCTTCCTATACCCCCTAGTACCTCTCCTATCTCCACGACTAACTCTTCTCACATTCTTTTATCACAGTGCACAGCTAATGCAAACGATGTGAGTTCGCGAAACGTCGTTTCTGGTCTTCTTAAACCCCGTTCTAAACTACATGTTGGAGCATTTAGTGTACGGACTTTGTGTCAAATAGGGCAACAGGCATCATTAGCTAGGACTTTAGAAACTCGTGCCATCGATGTATGCTGCGTCTCGGAAACGCGCATACAGGATCCTAGTAAAGTCATTAACCTGATTCCACCTTGTCAAAACGGAGAAGCAGCTCGATTTACTCTTCATGTATCCAGTAGCCCTGATGCTGCTTACAGGGGTCTTGCTGGCGTAGGCATAGCATTGAGTCGTAGGGCTGAACAATCTCTCCTTGACTGGATCCCAGTAGATAGTCGCTTGTGTGCTGTCCGACTCTTGCCTCTTCGTCGTATCTGCCTATGCCCCCACTGACTGCAATTCAGATGAGGTTAAAGATGAGTTTTACAGAAAGCTTTCGGACCTCCTCCAAAAAGCTAGGCACTCTGATATAGTATTAATGGCTGGTGACTTCAATGCTCAAATAGGTAGACTAAGTGAAAATGAAAGACATCTAGCTGGATGTTATGGTGTTGCGGCTCAGAGAACAGACAATGGTGACCGTCTGTTGCAAGTATGCTCAGACAACCGCCTATTCTTAGCAAACACTAACTTTAGGCAAAAGGAAAAGCATCTGTTGACCTGGCGACCTCCAAAGTCGTCTCAACGTTGGACCCAACTAGATCACATTGCCATCAGCCACCGATAAAGGGGTTCGATAGAAGACTGTCGCTCGTTCTGGGGCACATGTTTAGACTCAGATCATGCCCTAGTGCGAGCGCGTATTTGTTTGAAGCTTACTGGGCGTAGGAAAGACACCGTAAGAAAGCCTCTTAGGGTTTTACTTGATGGTAATCAAACTAAGAAAATATTTCAGGAGCCACTAGAAAGAGAGTTAAGCAACCATGTTAGCGATTCCCATCCAGAAGTAGGTTGGAATGATATCAAAAAGGCTGTGGAAACAGCAGTGATATCTTCTTGTAAGGTAAACCATAAGGCTAGAATGAAGCCGTGGATCTCAATAGCATCCACCGAACTGATGGATGCTCGAAAACTCATCCCGCCTGTCTCTGAGGGCGATGAGGAGCGGAGTCAGCTTAAACGTAGGCTGACAAAAAGCCTACGCGATGATCAATAACAGTTGGGTGGAGAAAGCGAGAGAGATGGAAAAGGCAGCGGCGATAGGCAACAGTAGGCAACTATTTAGACTCATCAAGGAAACTGGTATTAGGAACCCAAGTGTGAGTTAGACTGTTTTTAAAAGGATGGTCTTATTATCCATTCTCAATGCAGGAGACTGGACCGATGGGCAGAACACTTTAAGGATCAGTTCAACTGGCCTCGAGCCACTCTTCGGTTACCCACGATCTCCAGTCATCCTGAATGGCAAGTCGACGTAAGTCCCCCTAGTCTTTATGAAGTTGAGAAAGCGTTAGCAAGTCTGAAGCGAGGGCGAGCTGTAGGTCCTGATAGACTTACCCCTGAGATATTTAAGGATGGTGGTCCAGTTTTAGCAGCTAGGTTGACTGAGATCTTAGGTAGAATCTGGAGACTGGACGTAATCCGATCCGACTGGTCTCAATCACTGATTGTCCCAATCTATAAGAAAGGACAAAAGTCTTCTTGTGACAATCACAGGGGAATCAGTCTAACCAATATAGTTTCTAAATTTTACCCTCAATAACGAAAGATAGAAAGCAGACATTTAGCCGTCCTGCTATAGTTGTCTTCCTGGACCTTAAGGCGTCATTCGACTCAGTGGATCGTGAGGTTCTGTGGCAGTGTCTGTCATTGAAAGGTGTACCGAAGAAGTACATTAACCTTATACAAGCCCTCTACTCAAACACCACTGGTCGAGTGAGAGCTTATGGCGAACTGTTAGCGGGAGTCTTCACTTCACGTGGTGTCCGTCAGGGATGTCCACTTTCTCCATTCTTGTTTAATTTTATAGATATGCTCCTAGATATCACCTTATCCTCGTCTGAATTTTCAGGAGTAGACATTCTACCAGGTGGCTCGCTTGTCGACTCAGAATATGCCGATGACATTGTCCTACTTGGTGAAGACGCTGACAAAATGCAGTCTTCTGACTACCCTAAGCAACAACGCAGGCATGTTCGGGATGCGATTCTTCCCTTCTAAATGCAAAATGTTTCTCCAAAATTGGGTTGCATCGGCACCTGAATTAGTGATAGGGAGTGAAGTAGTCTAATGTGTCGACCGCTTCACTTATCTGGGTAGTTTCATCAGTGCTGATGGCCTGGTTTGTGATGAAATTTCAGCACGGATACAGAAGGCTGGATTGGCTTTTGCCAACATGCGTCACTCATGGCGTAAGTGAGATATCTTTCTGCTGACTAAATGACGAGTGTACCGTGTAGCAGTTCGCTCTGTCCTACGTTATTACTAAGAAACATGGCCAGTCAGTGTAGATATTCGTAGGTAACGGGTTTTCAATCGTAGGTGTCTTTGATCTATTGCTCGTATATTATGTTACAAGCAAGCAATGCAGTTGTTAGGAAACGGATACTTAGTAAAGATGGCAATTCGACTGATGATGTGGTGAAACACCATCATTTGAGTTGGTTGGGACGTGTATTACGAACGCCCAACTACCGACTGCCTTGACGAGCTATGTTTTGCGGTATAGGAATAGGTTGGAAGAAAGCACGGGGGCGGTCAGACCAAAACATGGCACAAATCCATGATTCTGCTGACAAATGGATTAAGTCGTGTTGGTTGATATTGACTACCTGGTTGGGGTCTGCGAGACGACAGTAACCGATGGTTGGGGATCTTGAAAGATATGGCTCAAAATCGTTTGCAGGGGTGCAGGTGCATCCACTCTTTATGTTCTCTGAAATTCTAATCTTCTGAATTCCTCATCACCTCTATCTCTCTGTGAAGTTTTCTCACTGGCGTACTTCTTGAATAGTGTCTTCGAACCTTAATTTTCCCTATTACCCCTAATACTTTTACTATCTCTACCACTATAAAATTTGAATAGACAATTATGTCCCTATGCTAATGCCGCATGGCAACCTGACCTAATGTACGAAGTTCTACGTTGTAACTAACGGACTTCTGTATTCAGCACATATCGCAAGTTCATGAGATATATTGTTAGTCCTTACTAAATGATGTTTTATTTTGTGTATGTGGGTAAGTTTAAATGTGTGTTCGTTTTGTATTTATGTGAAATTTTGCTGTTTTACGTTAGGTTCATTATGCATACTTCAACAGACTGTCGGCTGGCCGTCTCTGGGATTATTAGTCCTCGAGATCATAATCACAGGGACCGGGTCTCAGAAGCCTGTCGGTCACTTTATAATTACTCCAAAATCGGAACATGTGTCGATGATTATATGCAGGACCAGGTGAATTTATGAACATAAACTTTAAACTTATGTATTTGATTAACACTACTGACATTTTTTCAATTTTTGACAACGAATCTAAGTTATCACTTAAGTCTAATTACATGTATATTTCCTAGAAACACAATATGCCGAGATAACTAACCGTGTTTGTTAACATCAAACCAATACTGATTGAAAAAAATGTATTTTTTGTCGCTTAAGTTTATCAGTTAGGCTGATCATTACTCTGATATTTGCATATCTGAGCTCCCATAATATGATTTATATCCGTAGTGAATTATTCATTTAGAGGGTCACAATGGTTAAGCTTTAATGCTTGTACTTCATTTGTTTTCATTTAATGCAATCTTCATAAACCCATTTGAGATTACTGATGTGTATATTAAATGTCTTACTTGAAGAAAAACATGAGCTTAGAAATATTTTCACTGTGGCTGCACTCACTTTCAAATCATTGTTTTTGTCCTATAATATGTAATAGTAGCCGCAGAGATTTTGCAACACCTACATGTATTGATTTTATTCTTGTTTCATTGTAAAGGAAACGGAAAATGCTTTCAGTACAAGGAGGAATACTAATCCAGCTTTAAACATATCGATTCCTAATGTACTATTTTAATTAGGACATCAATCAACTCTAATTTTCCACAAAATGATTTGCTATTCATTACTTACTAGATTCTTTTAATTCTAATTAATGATGCAGATGTTTTAATTTAAAAGCATCTGTTATTTTATTATAGCTTATAATTCTTATGGCATTGGCTAAAGGAAAATCACAAATACGATGTGGACCGTTGACATTGCATACCAAAACTGCAATATATGTTGCAGAACATTTACTTGATGTGAGTTATTTCATAGTTCTGCACTTTAAACTATTTATACGTCGTAATATTCATTTTTTGATTAATAAATTTACTGAAAGTACTTTTATTTTTATGATTAATTATTTTGAAAATAGTTTACGTTCATATTAGTTAGTTAGTTATTTAAACATGAAATTAATGTTTGACGTAACCAAGGTCAGGTTTGTGCCTTAATATTTGAGCTATACTTTCAGAATAACGAAAGTAACCCATAGTGTCACTGGGAAATGAATAATGACAACTTAGCAAAGAAAATTTCCTTCTGGACGATATCATCCAGTCAAGTTGTACAATCGTATTTATAGTTAGTTTATGATTGAAATAGTCTGTTAAAAAATAAAAGGTAGATTAGATCGTATCATTTGTCGTATAAAGTTGCTTAATAATCAAGAACTGAAAAGCGATAACGGGGCGAAATGCAAATTAGAAGTGTTAAATTGAGAATAACGAATAATTAGGATCAAAAACATTCTAAGGATGTGATAGAATCAATTACCAGTAATGAAAATTAAGTGTTAGGGCTATGGGAGAATGGCAACTTGCACGTATCAGTTTTGCAACAGAATTAAGATTTTAAATGGTGGATTACTAACGCCTCTCCAGTACATAAGTTATTTATTTGTGTCCCTCTCGAACCAAATTTTCTTGGTATAAAGATGATTTTGGAAAACTGATCTAGTGACCCAAGTGACCAGAGTTCACAAAATGTTCCACTATTGAACTATTGATAGACTTGCGTTAACCTCAATAAAACCACGCGGGATCGATCTCAAGCATTTAAATAAAGTTCAGCCCTAGGACGGTCAACAGAAGTATAATTCTTTAATTTCACCTAGATTCTAAGTGCGTCCTTTGGCACACTCGCTTTGATGCTTGATTCCTAACTATTAGTATAGGTGTCATTGTATCTACTTTGGAATAGTCCCCCTTACTTGCTTATATTTTGGTGTCCAGGCATGCTTGTTTTGCATTTTGTATTCCTTTGTAGGTTCAATTCGAAGTAGTCACGTCAAATGATGGGTCTTCAATCATATCATGCGATGGTGTCGGATATACACCCAAACATTTGAAAAATTCATGTTCATAATTTTCATCTCAATGTCTTACATTATTTTGAACTCCACCTATGTTGTTTATTACTCGATTTGTTTTTATTGGGAAAATTTTCAGTTCAATCTCTCACCTTATATTTTTAAGCAACTTCTTGCACAAAAACAATTTGCTTCAAATAATTTTTAATTATGCCGATCAAATGTAATTTTATGTTCAGTGATAAATAAAGATCCTATCAGCTGCTGTGTAATTTCTTTGATCACAGCACTAGGCACAGTGCAACCTGCAATTTAGGAGTTATACGTACGGTCGTTTTGGTTAGACGAACACTCGCAAAATCCAAGTTCAGAAATGTCTTTAGGAAGTATAATCATGATTTATTGTAATCTCTTGTTGACAAATATTAAATAGAATTCAACTAACATTGCTCAGGAAGTAAACAATATGCCACTGTATATTTCGGAATGACCGTAGACAAAAATATAAGTGTGGGACGTTACATACTTTATTAGTTCGAGTTCTTATACCACTAGAGAAATAGGTCAGTACAATCAGCAAGAAGCAGTAAAATTAGACGAATAATATTCAAGTGATGAATAATAAGTTGATCTGTACCAACCTCATCATTTCAAATGTAAGTTCAGTGCTAAGTGGCTTTACGGCCGATGAAATGGGATGGAAAATGCGCTGAATACGATGAGTGCCAATAATAGTGTTAGACATAAAGAAAAGTTTATACTGAACATAAAGTCACGTTATTTAGTCTGCATATCTGAGACTTATCTAGTATTATCAGACCTATTAAAGATGGCCAGTTGTAAAAGTCATTCGTTTAGTGGTAGACCACAACTTTAGCTACACTTTAGTCCATTGGAGATTCGTTTAAAATATTGGCCCCAGAACAGTATGAATGAGGACACAGTAGGTTAGTATTCTAATCACATCTAGCACTTAGTGTGAAGTACGTCCGGAAAGCATGGCTAACTTCGGGAGATCCTAGCTAAACTCTAGAGAAACATACTTTTGACTGGACATGGAAAAGTAATTCACCATGACTTAACAAGATACAATTGGGAGCTCATCCTGACCCATTTTTCGTTGAATCCTCAAACTATCAACGGTGAAAGCGGAACTAAAAGCCATGTCAGGCGTCACTTGATAATCGTTTCAGGAAGCTACTATTCAGTACCCTAGGATGGCTTAGATATAATAGGATTGACAGGTACGAACTTCTGAGTAAATCCAAAATACGAGTAAAGGGACGTTGATGTAATGATTAATTGATGAGTATGGTTGTAACTAAACAATTAGATCTTAGAAATGTCACTTTCTGAACAATAGTGCCCATGTTACTTATTCACTGTCGTCTTAATTACACGTGACTTGACACTTCTGATGTTCAGATATAAAACTAGAACATTATGTCCTTACGCCGTTAACCTAATGATATAAGTCATTTTTCAGTGGAGCAATGTCAGAAAATTCATCATCACAGTAGCAGATTGCCAAAGGGTGTCCTTATGCCATTCATTCTTCATGGTTAACGATAGCCCGTCTGCACCATCCAGTTAGAATTAGGTCTTGCCCTTAAGGTCCTGGATTTTACCCCAAAAAGTGTTTTAGATATGGTTTAGTAAGGAGTTCCATACCTGTACAAACTAGTTGTTCAGGACTTCTTGGTATTTCAATGAATCTCTATCCATCATCGAATTCTATCGTAAAGTCCGTATACGTTGAACAAATTGCACAACATTTAAAATGATGTTTGTGATCATCAGTAGATAAATCAAAGTAATTCACAGCCTAACTATCCCGATCATAGCTGCTACCTTGACGCGATGGTCAGGCTTGCCTATCGTAATGACGCAACTGAGCTATATTGGCTGAAACATAGGTTCCTGTAGGTTCAACCATGCCAGGCAGATCAATTGGAGGACGATGAGATTAAAAGCAGCAACTCAAGGTCATGGAGAGGTGTGACAGAAATTAGGTGTTTCCCTCGGACAACCAACATCTGCAGCGATGCTGCCTCCTCACAAGGAAGGAAGGGGTTAGAAAAGGTCGACACTAAAATTTCACACCTCACCTTATCTCACGGATTTCCGTCTCCGGCGGTAAGGCTTTTCAAACAAGAGCGCAGCTAAGACTTTAAAAATTTCTCATAAAAAGGCCGTGCCTAACCGGTCTCCATCAGTTGTCCCCTGAGCCCTATTGTAACGCTCCCAGGTCTCTAAAACCAACACCAATCCAACATATTTTTCAGCTGCTTCCTCATGTAACACCGTTCCACGGTATGGGCAGCCGGGAAGTGACGACCGCCCTCATACCCGTGTAGTGAGCGAGTCAAGATACCAGATTAACTATGCTCACCACTAAATGTTCCATACGGTCGCGTTACGAATATAAAAACAAATCCATGTACCAAGGTTTTATTGAAGGAGACAGTAGGCATTACATGGGGAACAGCAAATAGAGAAAGATGGCATCAACGCGAAGAGAACGTTGTGCGCAAGAAGTGTTTTCGGTACAGTTAAACAAAGCGAGTACAATAATGTTTATTTTTCACAAATCGTATTTTCTTCGTAGAAGCGTTCCACTACACCCGTGACAACATACAAGAACAAATCGGTCTCAACCTAATACTTTCTACACCTCCCAATAGCTCTTATCACCACCACCGCGAACCTTTCTTTCATTCCGTTGTCACCTCGCACTGCCAAAGCAAACTTTTTGATATCACAAAACGTTATTCCTGGTCTCCGAAAACCCCCCTCTAAACTACATGTTAGAGCTTTTAATATTCGGACATTGGGTCAAACAGGCTTCCTCAGACGTGATTATGAAATACTGGGTGCTGCGCTTCTGAAACGTGTACACAGGATCTGAGCAAAATCATCAGTTTGATTTCACCGTTTGCTGATAGATAATAATTTCGGTTTATGCTTCGTGTGTCTGTAAGCCGTGCTTCCCGTGGCTTCGCTGGTATAGGTAATAGCATTGAGCCCTAGGGCAGAACTATCTTTTTGAATTGAATCCCAGTAGACAGTCACTTATGCGCTGTCCAACTAAACGGGATGGTAAATTTAGGGAACCTTGCCGTCTTGACATTCTCATTGAAAATTCTGATTTTGGTGATGGTTGAAAGTCGTTTGCAGTTCCAGATGGTTTTGAAGCGCTTCTCGATCTGAGCCTGCACATATGCGTCAAATCCACCTTGTGCATCGATGATGCGTCCGTATATGTAAAGGATTTTACATCCTCCATAACATCTCCATCAAGTCTGATTTGGTTGGTGCATGTTGAGTTGTGTCGGAGAATCTTGCTCCTCAGACTGCTGCTATACCATTCGTCTTCTCTTGAAGTGGTTGTTGCGTATGAGTTAGAAGAGCCAGATCATTTGCGAAGTCCAGATCGTTCAGCTGCATCTTAGTTATTCACTGTTACCGTACTTCCCTCAAGATGTCGACCTCTTCATAATCCAGTCGATCAACAGGAGAAAGAGAAATGGTGAGAGTAAATAACCTTGCCTGACATCGGTTTCACATCAGATGAATCTGTCAGCTGTCCTCCGTGCACGATTTTGCAGTATAATCCGTCATAAGAATTCCGTATGAGGTTGACTATCTTATTAGTGTCAAAGAAGCCTCCATGTTGCTGTATTAGTCAATGAAGTTGATGCAGAGTGGTGAGTTACATTCAACTGAATGTTTCATCATGATCCGCAATGCTTCTCTTTGGTCGGTACACGATCGATCATCATGAAATCCAGATTGTCGGTCTCCATGATGCTCGTCTAGAAAGTTCTTCATTCTGCTTAAAAATACCCTGTTTAAGACTTTATCTGGTACTGACAGGAGAGTGATGCATGTGTACTTCTCACACTTGTTGAGACCACCTTTCTTTGGTATTTGACCAGGTCTCCATCTTCCCTGTCTGTTGGTACTTGTTCGTCATCCCAAATGTTGTTGGCGAGAGTATGGAACATCTGTGCAGTAGCTGCCACGTCTCGTTTCAGAGCCTCGACTGGAAGGCTGTCTGATTCCGCTGCTTAACCGCTTTTGAATTTTCTGATGGCCACACTGATCTGTTCAATTGTTGGTTTGTCAACATCGATTGAGAAGTCCTTGAATGCTGCTTTGGTGTTGTGTAGGTTCAGTGGTGCTGGTCGATTAAAGAGTTCCCAACCAACGTGTTTAGCCTTTTTCAACGTTGTTGATTACTGAGCCTTCCTTGCTTTTCACTGGTCATTCTGGTTTATGATAATTTTCAACAAACGTCTTTTTTGTGTAGTACAACTGTCTCAGGTTCACTTCACTTACATTAGATGACGTTCATTGTAGTGCCCTCTTTCTTTGTTTTGAAGGACGATTTGATGATCGTCGGTCTATGAAATTCCCATTCATTAAGTACTTTACGTACTTCTCTGGATGGAATAAGTGCAACTTCTCATGTATATGAAGCGTTTTCTTACTGGCTGGAGTATTATCGAGTCGTTTATGTGAGACTATTGTTAGTTATTTTATAACTAATTGTAGTTATGTCATAACTAACCAATCAGATTGGTTAAGCGCTCACCACGTTATCTAGTCTGACCGGTATATAAACTTTCTTTGTTGTGAATGGCCTATCGATTGAAGGATATTATTATTTATTGATATTGCTGTGACTCATGTTTTTATTCATTTTCTAAAGACACGCTATACTGGTTGGTACGTCTGCTCATCTTACTTGATAATTGTAATTTCCTTATTTATTGTACTAATTTAATCGTTCATTTTTTTTGTTTAGAAACAGATAAAGTTTAAAACCAAGTTTTCATCGTTTTGATTTTATTGTCGACTCTGTAATCAATAGTATTTGCGTTTACAGTTTAGAATTACATCTGTAGGCCAAATTAGATCCTACGACTATGGCACCGCCTATGATCAGTTTGTTGAAGGCCTATAAGTTCAAGTTGTATATTTTCATCTCTACAGCAATTTAGAACAGTCTTTCGGTCACCCACATTGTTCGAATATTTCATGTACCTAAGATAATGGTTGCTCTGTTTGTCAGAACGGGAATCGGCATCGCGACTTCCGAAGGAACTTGGCTTTTATCATGAGTTGTCATACTCTTCTGAATGAAGACTTTCTAACTCTCAGGGCAGAGTTAAAATGGGTTGTGTGTTTTTTCTGGTCATCGGTTGTTCATTCAGTTGGTTTTCTACAGGATGTGGTCGTTAATCTCACGCCTCACCCTCCTCTTTATCCAGGGGCAGTTTGTATGGTATTTCATATCAAATTTAAAACAGGAACTAATGTTACTTTGCGTATGTTCAGTGTTAGTTACTAAATATACAGACAAATATGAGGGATCATAATGTTATGTCCGTTTGGCCCAATCTTACCATACTGCTTTGATTCCAAGCTGGAGAACAATCAACTTATGTCGGTTGTCAGTCAGTTTATTCTCAACGAAAGTTATACTGACTACACATCTGTCATTTTTGCTGAGAATATTGAAGTGTTTTATGTTTTTCGGATTTTCGGTAAATGTCATTCATCCCTATATTTAACAGGAGAAAATGAAGGAAATCCTTCTCCTTCATTTCTTGATGCTCTTTTGACAACGAAAAAGGACAGGACAAAAGCCTGGATCTGTTAGCTGACCAAATAACGTAGCTGATTTAAGCTAAGAAAAAAAGAGTCACACCATTCACTATCTATGTTACTGAAGTTTGTGATGCAAGGATAAATAAAGTTAGCCGAAAACGGCTAGCAAGAGCGACTTTATAGAAAATAAAATGAAATGAATTTTGAACAAAGATTTGGAAATTCCCACTTGCGAATAGAAACTATAACAAAATACAAATATTAACATCACAAAATGGGATTAAACAGAGCACCAAAATGTAGCGCAGAAAGAGTCAGCAAGAACATATTAAAAATATATATACGGAGGGATTTTCCCAAAAAAAAGCCTTCAAAATGGAGTCTACATGTACTTTCTTTGTTTCACGATACTGTCTATTGTAGAACAGCTTACCAATTTTTATCCATATCTGTGACACAATCACCAGGTGCAGTAAACTAGTAATAATGTTGTTAGACCTTGAAGTGATTCATCAACCATTTCCGAAACTCACAGCAAATCCCGAGACACTCTTTTATGGTCCACTAAATATTCAGATTGACCTTAGAATATATTGCACCTTCATTACCATTCACACAGGTATCACGAAATGATAGACAAATACCCCTACTTCTACTGAAAGTAGTGGGTCATGCCTAAGAGGTTCTACCGGTAAAATTCGAAGTATTCTTAAAATTTGAATTCGCATAATCATCTTCTTATCTTTCACAGCACTTTTAGTTTTCATTCCTACTAGATGGATAAATTGGAAAGCCTGTAGACAATGCTCAACTACTGTCAACTACAAGGAACTCAAACTCTCTGTATCACTGTGAGTTACTTCTTGTTCACTTATTAACAGTTTAATGCGTTTTTATTTCGCCAATTCATTATTATACAAACACCCTGCTTTCTTACAAATTTATCGCCTTACTAATGAATTTTTGACACTATTTTTCCTCTTTTTTCAGCTACTTTTTCTTCTGATCTCCAAACTACCTATTAGCTGACACATATCTTACAACTAATGCCATCAGTGAACTTAATATCAGTGTGATATGCCCCGTGGATATTTATTCCAACATAAGGAAGCCAGAGTTGTCTGCTTTGCTTGTAACGTGGAGCTAGTAGAGAAAGTGTATTTCGACAAGGTGCATAGGAAATGGAGCTTAGAATAAAAAACATCATTTAAAATTCGCCGTTAAACGTTAGAGAGCCCAACATTCCAAACGGAGGGAGGGTGGTGTATCTGACAAGCAGTCATGACGGTGGGGCGATAACCTCAATCTGACCATGTCTTTGGCAAAGCATTTTGCCATTATCTGACGAATCTCAACAAGAAGACCATTGTACCTTTACTATATCAATTCTTTTTATATGCAGACATGGATCTATTTCGTATTGCTTCCCAACCAGCAGCTGTTCGTCTCAATGCGATAGTCGTAGCTCGTGCCAACCCTAGCATTGTACATTACACGATCTGAAACATTATCTATAAATTAATTGAAAATTTTTAGCCATCTCTAAGAAGCCAGTATATAGTGTGAAATATTTATTTAACTGAACTACGTTTCAGCAATTGTAGCATTTTGATCTTGCCTGTATATTTGCTCGCCTCTTTTTGAGAATATTCTGCTCAACGTGACACAAGAGACTTACACCCTCAGAAGTATTCTCTTCCCCAATGTCTCCTCAGAGCACAAATTCGGTTAATTACCATTGAAAGTCTAGACACCAAGTTGAACTATATAGGGAACTCAGCCAAGGCTAACGCAATGCTTCTTTTTATGAGAGGACAACACAGTGCTATAACCCAACAATTATCCTTAACGTTGTTTAAGATATGAGTGTACCCACAACTTAAGGTTAACGACATCGTCTCACTCTCGCTCCTTGAAACAGACGCAGATCTCATGAATCGAGGGCAAAGAAATAGTTAAAATGGTTGAAGAGTAAACCGTAAGAAGAGAGACTCCTGATCTTGAAACTATTCTCTCTGAATTACAGGAGAATTAGAGGTGATCTGATAACGGCATACAAATCAATAATCATGCCAAATCATCCAAACGTGATCATCTTACCGAAGCAACACTACCATGCCCTTCGAGATAGTCCTCGAAACACTGAGCATGAAAGCACGAACATCCATATTTATGCACACTATTATCACTAAGAGTTATTGCGATTCGGAATGCTCTCCCAATCGAGGTGACCACAGCCCTCTCAGTGGATAGCTATGACAAAAGACTTGATTATCATTTCCCTCGTGGACCAGCTGTGCCAGATGCATGTCTCGAAACTTGCTTGTTGTCATTATTGCCATCTCCTTAGATCACCAATCTGATCCATCTAGCATATTATCTCCGTTTCTTCTCCCTCGCTTACACTTCTATCCTCTCGCACATTCTTCACCACCAGTTAATAAATCAAATTAGCCATTTATCTACTTGGTTCTGAAATCATCTTCTTAGCAGCATTTGAATTTTCTCCTCAATATTCTCCACATTTCAACTGACTGATCTCCAGCCTGGGAACGTGATAGCTGCTGGTATCCATAAACCCTACCTTCATGAAACAAACATACTCATTCAAATCACAGGATATACAAACTCACAAACAACAGCCGACTGACTAGAATGTGTGCAGTCGAGTGGCTATACTACCATCCATTGGACAGTACCAGATACCTGGAACCGTACCGAAAGAACAATAATCGAGCGCAAAGAGATCAATTGGTTTATACTAGCTCGTTAAAAAGATATTGCATGTTCGCACACTACAAAAGTATTGGAAATTGTGTATATAGGGTGGGAATTTGACAGTCTTAGGTCATTTGTACTGGTGTGTAGGTCGGACCTGCTGAACGTTGACTCATGGTGGACCCTTTTTGTATCCTGTCTTGTAAATTGTGCAGATTTGATCGTCAGACTGCTAACTTTCATTTTTGATCAGTTATATAACTATAGTATCAATCCACACGTTATATGTAACTTTTTGCATAAATTACCTGCAGTTTTTAGAATAAGTACGCTCCTGACTGCGTTTAGTAAGCTGGGAATGTCCTATGCATATCTGTTTAAATATATCATCATTGGTGACACTGGTATGTTTTGTACGTTAGTATCACTTTGGTAGCCGTTGGTAAATCATGCTTGCTTCTCCAATTTACAGACCAACGTTTCCAGCCCGTATATGATTTGACGATTGGAGTTGAGTTTGGTGCCCGAATGGTGACTATTGGAGACAAACAAATAAAGCTACAAGTTTGGGACACGGTTAGTCGTCTTTTGAAGCCAGACTTTTCTGAACCGTTGAGGATAGTCTCCTTTCGTGAGACTTGAGTTGAATGGGTGTTAATATGTTCAGGAAGTCTTAACATTTAGTCCTAATGCCCTCATGATATGCCAACCTGTCACAAAATTAGCCGTCGTTACATTTATCTATTTATGAGAGTTTTAATGCTACTGAAATATGTAACATAACCTCCTGAGTTCTTAAGCTAGTATTCTTGTAATGACTGTCGTGTCGAAAGACTTTTTGATTAACCTTAGTCCTACTAAATTGAGTTTACCTCCAAGACTTAATTTTTTAAATTTTAGGATATACAAATTTCAGTTAAACTGCGTGGCAACGAACATTTTTTCGAAAGTATCCATGTTTATGTTATGTGGCTCTTAAACTTCGGGTGTTTATTCACTTTAGGGTATTAGTAAAAACTAGTTATTTGCTTGAATATGCAATTGATAATTTGTGTCTAAGGTTGATTAGCTATTTATTAATTGTTATCAGTTTACATTTTAATATATGAAACTCTTCTGTTCACTATCATCACATCTTATTAACCAAATTTACTTTAATTCCTGTCCAGGCTGGGCAAGAAAGTTTTCGTTCCATAACGAGGTCGTATTATCGTGGTGCGGCAGGTGCTCTTTTAGTTTACGATGTTACCAGGTTTGTCATAAGATCTTTTCTCTTTACTTTTATTACTTCTCCACTTATAGTGGATACTAACTTAATATAACTGCACTGATTCTGACCCATTTTTCTCTCTGGTATCGATTTAATGTCACTGCAAATATGTAGGTTAATTTATTCTTTGGCTGTATTTATAGGTAGTAAATCGGATATCCTTCTTCCTAGCTATCATTTTAATTAAGTAGATCTATGAATATGGCCGTTTGTCAAGTTTACTTATACAGACCATCGTTTTTGATATAAATAAGAACTGTTTGTGCTGCCCGTTTGCATTTAAATATTACCAATATAATTAAGTAACGTATAATCCAAATCAACAAATTTAGTTAGCGAAAATTATTACTTGTGTTGATTGATAGGCTACTTAAACTATTAATTCTAAGTGTTTACTACTGATATCGAACTAACCGTTTATAATTGTCTCATAATAATATTATACCAAACAGAAGGAAGATTATAGTATAATTTCACTGAATTTTTAAGATTACAAATTGTAATTCTCGCTCGATACAACTCATTTATCAAGTAGATTTTTGTGTCTGTCATTGTCAAATTTTTGTTTGAGGGCATTGATACTACCCGAGTGTACAAACTAAAGTATTTGAAGTGGGGTTTGAACTTAAGACTTATCGGTTGAGAAATCAATACTCTTCCGATGAAACCATTACCTTATTCCGTATTACTAATAAATCTATCAATAACTTCGATAGTATTTTAATATAGTTAGTGCTAGGAGTAAGCAACAGTGTTGTAATGTTATTGTGTATGTATTGTTGGTAGTGAACTAAATTTTAAAAAGTTGGCAATCATGAGACAAGTCTTTATTTGAAATGGGAAGTAAAACCAACAAAGCTAGTCAATACAGAAAAAAACTGCATAAACATTATATATACTGTTAAAAATTGTAAGAATAATACATATAGTAGAAGCGGAAACCCGACCCATTTAGGAAAAGAACTGATTTTAGATTCAATTACCTTGAAAGAGTATTCCTTCTGTGAAAAATGCGACGAAAAACTAAGGCAAAATAACGATGGATTTTTGTTCTGAGCTGTCTTTAATAATATTTCAAAGCAGCGAGTTTCATGATTTAAGGGCTTTAATTAGGCAGCTTTGATGAGCCAACTAATGGTATTATTATCTCTGATATGATTCTTTAAAATATAGCAAATATCAATAATGAGACTCTCCATAGTTAATGGACTGGTGCATTAATAGTTACACCACCTTGACGTGGTTCTCGGGCTTGTCTATCATGACGACAAAGTCAAGCTATATTGATCGGAACACATGTTCTTTTATGGCCTTACCATGCCTGTCAGGTCGATTGGAGAACAGTAAGACCTAAAAGCAGGTAATCGAGGTCTGAGGGCAAAGTCGTACTGCCGACTGTAGAGAGATGTGACAGCCATAAGATGTTCCCCTCTAAAAACCAGCATCTGCAGCAATATTGCCTTCTCGCAAAGAAAGAAAGAGTTACTAAATTTTGACCATAAAAATGTCGCACCTCAGCTTACGTCATGGATTTCCGTCTCTGGCGATAAGGCCTCTGAAAGAGCTCAGCTAGCGATGTAAAAACTTCCAATAAAAAGGCCGTGCATCACCAGCCTCAAACAGTTGTCTCTTGGACTCTGCGGTGATGCTGCCAGGTTTCTGGGACCAACACTGATCCAAATTCCTTTTCAGTTTCCTCAAGAAACACCCTTCCACAATGTCGGGTGCCGGGCAGTAACATCCGCCCTCACACTCTTAACGCCACATGAAACCAATTTTCTCACAATCAAATCGTCACTCACCTCTTCACAACTATCTTGTCTCCTCGTATACCTTCATCAGATCATGCCGCTGATGCAAACGATTTGAGTACACGAAATGTTATTGTTGGTCTCCCGAAGGCACACTCCAAAATACGAGTTAGAGCTCCTAATATTTAGACTTTTTGCCAAATAGGGTAACAGACTTCCTTATCTAGTACTCTGAAATCTCATGCAATCGATGTATGCTGCGTTTCCGAAACGCTTACATAAGATCCGGGTAGAATCATTAATTTGACCTCGCGTTTTCAAAGTGAGGAACCGACCGAATTTGCGTTTTGTGTAACTGGCAGCCTCTGCTGCTCCCCGTGGCCTTGCTGTTGTTCTAGGGTAGAACTAGTTCTCTTAGACTGAATCCCAGTAGACAGTTGCTTGTGTGCTGTCCGACTGAATGGGACAGTAGGAATTCGGAAACAGGAAAACTCGCCGTTATTTATATGCCGTCTTTGCCTACGCTCTCACTGACTACAGTTCAGACGAGGGGAAAGATGAGTTTTACAGAAAGCTTTCGGACTTCTTTCAAAAAGCTGGGTGCTCTGGTTTAGTAATAGTGGCTGGTGACTTTCATGCTCGAGTAAGTAGATTAAGTGAAACTAAACGACACCTGGGTGGGTCTTATTGTGTCGAGGCCCAAGGAACAGATAATGGTGACCTTTTGCTGCAGCTCTGCTCAAATAAACGCTTGTTTCTGGCAAATACTAACTTTAAGCATAAGGAAAAACACCTACTCTCCTGGCGACCCCCAAAGTCGTCCCAACATTGGACCCAACTTGATCACATCGCCATCAGCCACCGATGGAGGGATTCGATAGAAGATTTTCAATCGATAATCATTAATTATTCATTGCTGTGAGTGATCGTATTTCTGCATCCTTTTTTTGTATAGACGTAAATAAAATGTCTCTGCTAGTAACACACTGGAGGCTACCCTTCATTAACGGATTGGAATAAAATTTATTCCAGGCTGTGTGTGAAAAATCCCTTGTGTTATACCAGAGGAAAAAACTGATTTCTTGGGTCTTATTGGATCATAAGTGGTTGGACCATAACAACAATAAAATTATTGTGATATCTGTCTCTCTCTATCGCTCTATTCCTACTATCGATTAGTTCATGTACATTGCCAGTAGGTCTTTTGACCTATCTAACAAGTGACACATCAGTCGATGCTCAACAAGCAAGATCTTGAGCGTGTGTTAATGTGGCGAACCTGGTGCCTCATTACAGTTGCATTGCTTAACCATAACCTTTATTGACGGATTAGTTTACTGATTAGTCCATCGTTTCAGTCATAATCAAACAATTCTACTTTTTGGTACCGTATTTCATAAAATCAATTGATTGTATGTTGATGTTATGCTTTCTATTCTTGATTTTGACTAGGCGTGATACATTCAACCATTTGGCTTCCTGGTTACAAGATGCTCGGCAACATGCAAGTCCAAATATGGTCATTACATTGGTTGGAAATAAGTGTGATTTGGGTGCTAGACGAGAGGTTGGACAGGAAGAAGCTGAAGCATTTGCCCGAGAAAATAATTTGTTATTTCTAGAAACATCAGCCAAAACGGGAGCAAATGTAGAACAAGCCTTTGCTTCTACCGCACGCGCAATCTACGAACATTTACAACTAGGTCTTTTAGATATCAATAATGATGTAGGTTTTCGATGTTTTGAAAGAAAGTTTTCATTTTCAATAAATGATTTAAGTTTTATACAAAGATACTTACTTATTAGTTTTAGTCATTATAAAAATAGTTAACCGGTTATACCTGATTGTGATTTGTTTTATGGATTCAGTCCTCTTTAAACCTGTAATTATTCAGAGATTATTACACTAACGTGAGTTTTCTTAAGCCTCAGATATTTCACTGTATAATAGAAAGCTAGATTTTGAGTTGATGGACCTCCTGAAAAACAAATGCTTTCTTGGTTTATTCGTATCTTAACTAAGTAGCACGTATGATGAAAGTTACACGTCTCTGTTTTCATATTATCGACCTTTGTGAATCCAATTAACCCTCTTCAAATTCCTTGGAAATCATTCCCAAATAGTTGAGTATTGAGGCAGACTTTATGTTGAGTGCTAGTGTTGGTGGTTGGGGATTCGGAGCTACCATCTCATTGTCGAAGATCAAATGGTATTAGTCTTTCATACTAAAATGAATATTCTTAAATATTTGAACAAATAGTTCCACAGAAATTGGGCACCGAACAGGTGGAAGACGTTATTTGTAAAATTATATTAAAAGTGATAGCGGTTGGAATGTAACCAGTTCCACCGCTTCTTTCAGCGAACATGTCTCGACTTCAGGATAATAATCAAAATTATCAAACAATATATGAAGTCTAAAAATCAAAATGAGTCTGTACTGATCGCTTACCCAATCGCATTTAGATGTTAACTTTAGTTAGCAGGCTAACGTAAGTTAGTGAGATATGAATCACGGGAAAATTCATTGTGAGAAAAAATGAGTAAACAAGCATGTGCGTTTATGTATAATTTTTATCTCCGGTGAATGGATGCCAAACATTTGTTTATTTTTCCTTTGCAAGCGTACCCTTAACTTTCGCTAATGCCTTATCTAGTGGTATCACTGGCACGGGAATAAACTTTTTATATGTGTTCCTTCATATGTTTCTTTTCAGTATGAAGTGACAACTGCATTATTCCATTCTCAATATACACTCCAGTTTGATTTTCCCTTCATTTCTATTAATCTTTAAAAACTTTAGGGTATTTGTTACCACGAAGTGCAGACAATATTACAATCAATTTCGTCTTACGTTTATTAAATTTTTCTTTACTGTAACCCTAGAATAGGAATGAAATGAACCCTAGCCTAAGTACCTCGTAGAATCTGTTAATTTTCTGAATTCATTCATTACTCTACGTATTACTATGTCTCTAACCAAGTTATCAAGAAACGCTAGTTATTGGACAGTGGATTCTATCACATCGATTAACTTAATGATATCTGATATGTTTGTTCACATTTTCAAACATTTCTACCAAACCATTTTCGTTGATGATGGCGAAAATGCCATTTATATACCGTAACCAAACTTTATGTGCGTTAACACACTTTATGATCTTCCTGTTTTTTAAGGAATGCATGAATACATTTACTACAATTAGTAAAAATGATTACCTCAATGCCTGTTTGTAGAAATCTCTTGGTTTGCAAATACAGTTTGAATCGCTTAATGATCTCGGAAGAATCTAACGGCAGGCATCGTGAATTTAAATCTGTCAGATTCTAAACAATCATAAATAATATCCTATGTTCTATTGATATATACATTAAGAAATCGGGAAAAAGCACCAAAACTTGCCCTCGATTCACCATCTTCCATGTAAATGGTATCAACATCATTCTTGAAACCAATAGTGCTTTTGATCCCGTGATTAGCGAATTCGTTGTAGTTTTATAATCCTAGTTATATATAGCTGCTGGTTTATGTGCTACAAAATTTGTAAAATCAACCACTGATATAAGTGATGCATTATTCTTGTGAATCTTTGGCAGTCCATAGAATCTACATGGATTACAACTTTTCGATATAATGTGAATCATAGTCCTAGTTTTATATTTAACAACTGCAAGATTTTGTTCATTTCAGCCGTTTTTATGTGGTTCTCAGGCCCACATATTTTTTTGATTGCATGGCAAAATGGCTTTGTTGGGACAAATTTCAGAGTAGTAGAAGTAGTAATAGTATTGGCGGTAATCAAAAAGATTCGGCATGTACTACGACCTTACAGTGAAATCCCTCGTATGAGTTATATATGTTGGTGACGATCTTCGCGCATACTCCATGTTCTCAACTTTCTTATTTCGTAACACAATTGAGTCTTTGATTTTCCTGTTTCCTCTTGCAGCTTGCTCTTCTGTAGCTTGTTGTCAGATCAAATAGATTTCTGCGTTCGTCTACCCTAATGCCCTTCTTTACTAGTTTGTTTACTACCGTATATTCAGTCTGTGCCTTGACTTTCTCTAGTGTTATTGACTGTTGTAATTTTGTTCTTCCTTTCTTGAATTTGGTCCAGGCTATCTACATCGACCCGCTCATTTTATCAGTTTCTCACGACCCAACATCTCTCAGTCCTCTCCATTTCCAGCTGGTCTGCAGAGTGGTTTCCTCTCATATTCTAGTAGATCTCATGTAACTTAAACCTTGTTGCGGAACCTTATCTTCAACGCTCCTAGCTTGTCCTTTTGTTGGACATTTCTCTAGAATAAATGGAATCATCTTGTAAAACTGGCCTTTTGAACATCTTTGGTAGGTGTGATGTACTGGATCACATCCGTCGTAACTCTTTGTTTCGAAGTATGTTTGATGATCCTGGAGCCGTGCGTTTCTTATCCTGTGAGCACTTTTCGTGCTTTTTTGTGCAGCATTAATTCACCTCTTCGTTTGTGTATTGAATTTCCTTGTTTGTAATCAAATCTCTAGGAGTAATTCGTTTTTGTTTATATTGTGTCTAATGGGTTTCTTTAAAGTCCAGGTTTCATCTCATTACCACTCCTGTTATAGATTTAACACCAACAACATATCTGTTGTTATCGAACAACTTCATAAGCCTTTTTCTACTAATTTATAGCCGTATAACTAGTGCCTTTGCTTGTAGGCATTCAATAAGACACAATGTTCTTCCACTCGAGAATAATTTCCGATTTCGATGATAATCAGCTACGAATAGACTTTATTTTGCTTAAGAATCGAAGTGTAACTAGTTGGCTTACTGACTGTTACACCTAAAAATCTTTTGTCATTCCCTTTTTGCATCCAAATATATCTGTATACTCACCTAACAATGTAAATTTTTTGTAACTTAGGCAAATGGTATAAAACTAGGCCCTCAACAACTAAATAATCGACAAACTGGTTCGTACGGTCCGGTTGGCTCAGATTCAGGAAGTAATGTAAGAAGACGTTGTTGTTAGTTGATACCAAAGAAGGATCAATTTCTGAAAAGATAGTAAGGTTTACATTACATTATTTATGATCTGTATGTTAACTTTAGCCTTTCTGTAATTTACATGCACTATTTTACTCTATTTATTTTGATCTTTTTACACGATATAATTTCATTTGCTTTTTTGTTTTTATCTCCGTGTTTGAAATAAATACGTTAATTATTTATTTGTCTATGTTATCCAACGATTTCCTCATACTTTATTTTGCTTGTTTTGATCGTTCACACCATTTTCGATCAGTCAGTTCTCCATATTATATATATAAGCATGTTATTTAAATACAAATATTCATTCACTTCAGTATTCATTCCAGTTAAAAATTTTAATTCTGACAATGCAATATGCCTGTTATAAACCGCTACAAAAATGATACATGATGTTGAAACGTATCGCTTCATTTTTTCCCCAAGAAGCAAAAAATTTCTCATCTTGTTTTCGCATCATTTAGTTTTAAAGTTGTTACTCATTCATTCGATTTTCATATTATAGCATTGTGTTCATGTATCTCGATGTACGGTATATTTTTCCAGATATTTTTTAAGCTGTCAAACATGTTTCTTTTTGCATATACAGTTTTGTAAAACAAAATCAATTGGTTTATATTGAGTTTTTCCTACGCACATTTTTGTGCTTGTATTCTTTTCGCTCAACTGTTGAATATTTAGTAATAATGATTTTATTAAAATATGTTTCAAATGTGTAAGAAAAACGCTATCATAACTTATAGGTTCTTTTATAAATATTCTTTTATCAGATACCAGAATAAATCTTAATAATCGTCTTGTTCTTGTCGTGAACTACAACCAGAGGATATTATTTAATACCGAATTTTTCTAATATCTCATGGGAGCTTTTATTTGCATTTCAAAAAGTAAGTCAGCAAACAAATACTCTAGTTTGTTGTTAAGTTGGTTTTATTTTCTCTGTTAGAAAAAGCGATAACTAACACTTATAAGTCTTTTCAATCCGAAACCTGACCGTAGCTGCTACCTTGACGTGGTGGTCGGGCTTGCCTATCGTAATGACCCAACCGAACTATATTGGCTGGAACATATGTTCCTAAAGGTTCTAACATGCCAGGCAGGTCGGTTGGAGAACAATGAGACTAAAAGCAGCTACTCAAGGTCTGAGGGCGAAGTCGTACTTCTGACTATAGAGAGGTGTTGCAAGCAGTAAGGTGTTTCCCTCGGGAAACCAGCATCTGCAGCGATGCTGCCTTCTCACAAGGAAGGAAGGGTTAGAAAAGGTCGACCCTAAAAATGTCACACCTCACCTTACCTCACGGATTTCCGTCTTCGGCGCTAAGGCCTTTTAAACAAGAACGGAGCTAACACTTTATATAGTTCTCATAAAAAGGCCATGCGTGACCGGCCTCAAGCCGTTGTCTCTGTGGACTCTGTGGAAGAGTACTATGTATGCCTGACTACCACCTACCTTGAAAGCTGGTGTTCGATAGTCCAGAAGCATGTTAGAAGAAAGGCAGAAGTGGTCAAACCAAAACGTGGCATCAATCCCTGAAGTCATTTATTGTCGGTTAGAGCCGTGTCACCATGATAAACTTTGAGTGAGAGAGGAAGATCATTAGCAGTAGCGCAGATACATTTACTGCTTCTCTTCCCGTCTATCTTGAATTTCAGTATCCTCACATACATGACTTCACGGTCTTTTAGAACCGAATTCCCAACGTTTAGTCTCTTCCCTAATCAGCACTACATTACCAAGATTTCCTTAGTCGTTTTCATATTGTTGTACTCATTTGACACAACTTGGGCCGACGCACATCTGTTTTTTATTTGATTAAAGCAATTAATTGTTGTTACATAGTGACATAATATAGACGCCACACAGTGTATTTATATTCATGCTAGGATACTGCCCGTGTGTCCAAACCGAAGCAGGTAGTATTGTTAGGGGGCCAGTAACCCCATCCCATAGAAAGACTATCTTGTTTAATAGCTGCTACCTTGACGTGGTGGCCGGGCAGCCCATCGTGATTACCCAACCGAGCTATATTGGCTGGAACATATGTCCCTGTAGGTCCTACCAGGCCAGGCAGGTCGATTAGAGAACGATGAGACTAAAAGCAGCTACTCAAGGTCTGAGGGCGAAGTCGTACTGCTGACCACAAAGAGGTGTGAGAGCAGTTGTGTTTCTCTCGGACAACCAGCATCTGCAGCGATACTGCCTTCTCACACCTCACCTTACGTCACGGATTTCCATCTCCAGCGGTAAGGGCTTTCAAACAAGAGTGGAACTCATGCTTTTAAAACCTTTCATAAAAAGCCGTGCGCTACCGGCCTCAGGCAGTTGTCGCTTTGACAATGCGGTCACGCTTCCAAGTGTCTATGACCAACACTAATCTATCTTCATTTTCAGGTCCCTCAAGAAACAGCCTTCCACGGTGTGGGCAGCAGCGAAGTGACAATCGCCCTGATACTCGTAACAGCACGCGAGACCAAATCAGTCACAAACTTATCCTTCCTTCACTCCCTAACATCTCGCTTATCTCCACGATTAACTGTTCTCAAATTCATCTATCACAGTGCACAGCTAATGCAAACGATGCGAGTTCACTAAACGTTATTCCTGGTCTCCTGAAACCTCGTTCTAAATTACATGTTGGAGCACTTAGTGTCCGAACATTGTGTCAAATAGGATAACAGAATTCCTTAGCTAGTACTGTGGAATCTCGTGCCGTCGATGTATGTTGCGTCTCGGAAACGCGCATAAAGGATCCGAGTAGAATCCTTCATTTGACCTCGCCTTGTCGAAGTGAAGAATCAACTCGATTTACTCTTCATGTATCTGGTAGGCCTGGTGCTGCCCCCGGGGTCTCACTGGCGTAGGTATAACATTGAATCCTAGGGCAGAACTAGCTTACTCGGACTGGATCCCGGTAGTTAATCGCTTGTGCGCTGTCCGACTAAACGGGACAGTAAGGATTCGGAAAGATAGGGACACTCACCGTCGCTTCTTCGTCGTATCTGCCACGCTCCCACTGACCGCAGTTCAGACGAGGTGAAAGATGAGTTTTACAGAAAGCTTTCGGACCTCCTCCAAAACGTTAGCCGCTCTGATATAGTAATAATGGCTGGTGACTTTAATGTTCAAGTAGGTAGACTAAGTGAAAAAGAAAGACACCTTGGTGGATCTTATGGTGTCGCGGCTGATTGTCTGTTGCAACTGTGCTCAGATAACCAACTATTTCTATCAAACACCAACTTTAGGCATATGGAAAAACATCTTTTGACCTGGCGACCCCCAAAGTCGTCACAACGTTGGACACAACTAGATCACATCGCAATCAACCTTTGGGGAGGTTCAATAGAGGACTGTCGCTCGTTCCGGGGAACAAATCTAGATTCAGATCATGCCCTAGTGCGTGCGCGTATTTGTTTGAGACTTACTGGACGTAGGAAAGACACCGCAAGGAAATCTTCTATGGCTCTACTTAATGATAAAAAGCTAAGAATATATTTCAGGAACAACTAGAAAAACAGTTGGGCAACGATGTGAGTAATGCCCACCTTGAGACAGCTTGAAAGGATATCCAAAAAGCTGTGAAAACAGCTATGATATCTGCTAGTAAGGTAAACTATAAGGTTAGGGATAAGCCGTGGATCTCAGTAGCATCCACCGAACTGATAGACGCTCGGAAACTCATCTCACCTGGCTCTGAACGTGATGAATAGCGAAGTCAGCTTAAGCGCAGGCTGATAAAAAGCCTACTTAATGGTCCTGAACTGTAGTAGGTAGAGAAATCATGGGAGATGGAAAAGGCAGCAGCAGACAGTTGTTCCGACTTATCAAGGAAACCGGTATTAGGAATCCGAATATGAGTGAGACTATCTCGGAAGAGGATGGGACTATTATTCGTTCTCAATCGGAGAGATTGAATCGATGGGCAGAACACTAGGGATCATCTCAACTGGCCCTCAGCCACACTTCGTCTACCCGCGATCTCCAATTATCCTGAATAGTAAGTCGACGTAAGCGAGGGAGAGCAGCAGGATTTGATAGATTTACCTGAGATTTTTAAGAATGGTGGTCCTGTTTTAGCAGTTACATTGACTGAAATCCTAGGTAGAATTCAGGAACTGGGCGTAATCCCATCTGACTGGTCTCGATCCTTGACGGAGGACGAAGGTCCTCTTGTGAAAATCACAGAGAAATAAGTCTAACTAATATAGTGTCAAAGATATTGACCTCAATAATACTCCGACGCTTAACGAAAGCCCGTGAGGAGCAGACTAGAGAAAACCAGGCTGGTTTTTCTACCTGGACGTGAATGTGTAGCATCTCATCATTCATTCACTGTACTTCCGTTTAAATTATTCGATAATTGTATCGACCATAATTTTGTATTTGTAATAATTCGATTATTGTATATTTGATTTGTGTGGATGCTTTATTGCTTATTACATGTGTAGCCTATTATTGCTTGACTCTTCAGCTCATAGAGAGTTGGCTCAATCGCCTTCTCCGATTCGCTTCGTTTTGCTTGTACGTTTCCGTTCTCGTGTTTGTCTGCATAAATGAATGCATGAAATAAATTCATCGACAACACCGTATTTGGCTTCTTACTACCGCCGTTGCACAAACGGGGTTAGCCTAAGTATAAGAAGATATATTTCATTGGACACTCGATCGTTCGTCCACATTGGAGTCCAGTAGTAAACCGCCAAAAGTGGTGAGCCCGACGTGATCCAAACATGCAATCTTCTGATGCGACTGACTGACTGTCAATCCGAAAGTAGTCATAATGCACCATTACTCTGATGAGTGCATGTATACGTTTTAAATGGAAAATATCATTGGACGATTAATCGCATTTAATTACTTGGCGGGTTTACAAAGTAAGGAGACACATTGGTGGACTATAAGTTAGCTGTTCACTGAAATTTAAACTTTCGAACGTGTGTGTTGTATCGGCATAGCTGTTCGTTTGTCTTTTTCGATTTCCGACGTATCTGTGCAAAATTGATGGCTATTCAGAGTGTTTACGAAGTTCAGTGGATGCACAAACGAAACGTTGCCTGAAACCTACTATCTTGTTATGCCTTTTGACTATTACTATGTTCATAAGTTTAAGCTACCTGTAGCTGCTTCAGCTTGAGCATCTGAACAGCAACGGTTACTCGCAAAGAACATATATTTGCAAATCTCTGAGGTACACCTTACGTACCACTAGACTTTGTATGATTATTGTTCCAATTTGTATAGATTCATAATGTTCTACAGCTTTTGTAGGTTATAAGTCTTCATTGCAATCAGATACATATTTCACGGTCTTACTATTCCCTCTAAAATCTGAACGATACTTAAAAGGAAGTTACGAAAAACGAAACATCACTCTTGCATATATGTTTCTTATTTTCTGAAAACAGATTTTCCGATGGACTTTGTATTGATCGTCAGCGTCATGTGACGAATCGGTGCTACCCAACTGTGTACCTAATCACAAAGTTCATTTGTTATAAATTCGAAACTAACCACTTGGTTAGCTCTATCAACTAAAAGACCACCACTGTCAGTAATCGTTTATTAGTCATATTCATTTGAACACTGCTGTTATGTAAATGAACTTCATTAGCAAAAAAATTTGTATGGATAACAAAACATCTTTGTATTTGTTTTATTTCATAATTTATAAAATAAAATAGAAATGTAAGTAAATAAAAATCCAATGGAATGATAGCAGAAAGGAAAATATATTTATGAAAGATGATAGAAGAAATAGTAATTGTAGCACTTGTGAATTCTTCCTTTTTGCTTCTGGTCAATGGTATAAAATTGCAAAAGAATGAAATACATAGAAATTTCAACGGGTTGCCTCTTTTTTTTGTATTGTTTTTCGTCATTGTATCAAACATGCTGAGTATGGTTAGTACTAGGACACAATATAATATGTGGCATAAAGAAATTCAAATAACCATTTAGAACTGGTGGACAATTTTTTCGTGCATACCACTCCATTGAATACAAACAGATCATTTGACCCCAACCAACAAATAATAATATCCAAATAGCTACATTCCAACCACGTCCACTACCCTGCACAAAAAATAACACATAACCACCTACACTAAAAAATAAAAATAACACTGGTAAGCAATATCTTAAACTCATCATTAAGATATATTCATGTACACCAGCTGATAACCAAAAAACAGCAGTTGCTGCCAATGTACGTGAGTGTTTTCCAATTAGAAATTGTATATCACGGTAAATATAAGTATATAACCAATCATGTACAATTACATTCCATGTACGATACCATACACTAAATGTTGTCGCATTCCACCAATCTTTATAAAACAAACGATCACCGAAACGTAACATTTCAGCAAATGCATTCAACCATGAATGTAAAAATGAATAGAATGCAATTAACATTAATAAACCACCTGGTAATGTACAAGCTGTTGATGTTAATATATATTTTTTAAATGAAAATTTTTTTAATTTACCAAGTTGAGAAAATGGTAAGAAACAAAAACGCATAAAAATATAATAACTAAATATAAAACAAACAATCACTTGTAAGAAATTTGAAAAGACAAAATACCAGCGTATACTACGTGTACGTGGATATTTTTCACGGTAAACTAAAGTTGGAGCTAGCAAGAAATAAAGATAACGTGAGAAATTAGGAAATTCATCTATTTCCGTTACACATGAATTTGATTGGTTCAAATGGTGATTGTTGATTCCTGTTGTTACAGCGGTCGTTGGTGATGGTGGTGTTGATTCATCTTCACCTTCTTCAAATATCCGACTAATTGCATAACGCACGAACGCATGTGATTTCATAATCAGTCGAACTTGTTCGCCTGTGACGATTGCGGTACTAGCCGGTGGTAAGTCACAAATTATTGTGAAACGAAATGATGTCATAAAAAACATCACCTATATGTACGTTTGATGGAAAGAAAAGCATAACCTTTGAACAATAAAAACATTAATCATTTTTTAATAGATATAATCAATCAAGGTACAATTTCGCATTTACAAATTTAGAAATCAAACTAGTGTTTAAATTTATAATAAAGCAGTGATCAACCGTTAATAAAATTGTGCAATAAAAGCAAAAAAGTTGATTCTGATATTTAAGGGTAATTGGAATATTTAGGTATAAAATTAACATTTGACACAACAGACCAGTAGGAGAATTAAAGTGCTTTATCGAAATTTTCTTTTCGGACTGTCTTCGCTCTATTCAGATAGCACCATTACTTCTGGCCAGGGTGGGTCAGAGAGGTAACCGTGACCAGTCCACAGGGGTCGATAAGACATTTACAGTGGTATAAGTGTAAAGCAGTATATCGTCAACTGAAGACCAATTTGCTAAACTGATTTGACTACCTGCTAGTCAGTCATTCAGTACAACTGATACCACTGGGTTACTGCCTGGGATAAGCGTGTCTATGTCTATATGCTTATAGAAATGTATGAAAATAGCATGTACTTGCGTGCGGAAACTTCCATGCCTGTATGCAATTAAAGAATGGGTAGACCTAGTCTAAATATTTTATAATTATACATAACGTATACTAGCAACCGCGCCCATCTATTCCTATGTGTATACATATATCTTTGGCAGATGTGCTCATAAAGCATACTAAGAAGAAGCTACCATGTCTCATACCGATAGTACTCATTAATGTTCACCAGCGCTTTTGGTTGTTTCAGTAAGTTTTCGAACATGGTAGAAAACACTACCATACTAGGGTAGGCTGACAATCATTCTATCTACACGAGGTAGATCGTAATGAATCCATCTTCTGCAGAAATATATCAGAAGACTAGTTAAAACGTCTACCTATATGTATTAAATAAACTCATAAGATTCCTGTCTGTTTTCATGTGTATAGTTGAATCAATGTCTTTATCCCTATCTCCCTCCTTTCTTTTTTTTGAATGTTGCATTTTAGTTTACCGTATCTCGTCCTTTTCATCTTGAAAAGTTAATTGTCTTACCGTCTAGAGTGCTGGAATTAACTAGCTAATTAACTAAGATTAATCCCCATTGATCTCAAACTTTCAAATAGTTTAAAATTTACGTGATCAGGATGCATGTTTTTATTATTCAAAATGTTCAACAAGTGACGTTCTCACCAAGCAGTGTATCGTCCCATAGCTGTTTGAATTTGGAATTGTGAACCATTCGACCTCAAATCAATGATTTGAATGTCTTTGGTTCCATTTTTGGTAGAGTTTTGGATGAACTCTACTGAGGAGCACCAAACTAATAATAATCCCCATAAACTTCTCAGTTAAGTAGTTTGTTATTGCTAAAAGTAGAAGCTATTTAGCATCACAACATTCTAGCTTCGTTTATCGATGCATGCACATACATAAACAGTCATTTTATGTGGATTTCTCTAACAACCTGAAGCATAACACCGTACTGGTGGAAAAAGTATGGTATATTGTTCTTTAATTAAAAATCTTTGAGAAAACAGTAATACTGATAGCCTTGCCTTGCTGGAACAAGTTTTATATCAAAGAATCCCTGTCGAATACTTGAAATTATTGTCACAGTGTTTATTTAATTAAGTTAACACCCATATTACAACTCAGTTGACAGAATTCTAACAGAACTGAGGAGACAAAACAGACAACATCGCATTTTACTGAAGAATCTAACTCTAATGCAACATTCTCTGGTGATTAAAATTAAGATACAGCTAAACTGTGATAAACTCAACTAATATTCTATCAATAGATTTCTTTGATCATGCATTTTATATAGATCGTTGTGTATAATTACACTCACCATACTTCTCTGATAGTTTAATCTAGTCCTATCCTTTAAACTAAGTGTTTATATAATTTAAGGTTTCTTAAAAGTTATAAATAGTATTGGGTCAGTACTGATCAGACAACTGTATTGTATCGTAAAACTGCATTACTTTGATCTGAATAAACTTCACTGGATTTCATATCAATAAAAAACACTTTGTATAACTTGATAATATCCTATTTCTCATCTGGGCTAGACTGGAAAGCAAATAATTAGGTCCGTATAATGCAACGAGAAGATGAAGGTTAACGGAACCATATCATGTACATGCACACTTCATCTGGAACGATCTGATAACAGTTATTAAGACAGTACACATAAAAATAAAAGGTCGAAGAGACAAATTTGAACGTAGGAGAAATTAATTTGTCCTTCTCGTTAGAATATAAAAATTTTGAATAAATAAGAACCTTAACATTGAAGCTGCCAATGCGAATGAAAGTTTATTTGATCTTGCGAATACAGTCTGTGTACTTATAAACACATAAAACATGTTTATCAGTAGGAAAGTGAAGTTATAAGGTAAAGCTTCATAGAGAAGTTTCATATCATCTATCCTTTTAGTCATTAATCACAGTGTCGTCTAATGATATCCAAGACCATCGAAATAATTATTGTGGGAACTTATTATGAAGGTATAACGAAGTGGACTATCTCCTTCATCAATAACTTGCTAATCATTACTTCATTAACTCACAGGAGAATGAGCCATTCCTTCCATGTAATGCATGAAGATTCCCTCAAAGCGTTAGTTTTTTGTCAAAAATATTACTACACCGAGAGTCTGTGTCGTGCTAGCCACCATCCGACTCTGCTTAAAATACTCGTGAATCAATAACATTATCGAGGAAATCCTCACTGGATGCAAAAATGCCAGAGATTAGTGATAGCCTAAAGATTCAAACGATAAATACAAAGAAATCGCATACTACTTATGTTAACTGCGATTATTATCATTCCTTTTCACTAGGTTCTAGATCCTACCTATCGATCAATACATAATTACATGGTTAACGTTCAACATCGTCACGTCTTTCAATGCAGTTGCACAAAACATTTATGCATCATCGCTAAATACTTCATAATCCTAACTAGCATGTCAGCTTTAGCATTATTTGTGTTGTAATACAACATTTATAATAATAAATCGTTAAGATGTTCATCGTATTAATTTTTTATGATAGACAGACGCGAATGGACTATCCCGAATTGCTATATACTAAAACCTTAAAGTTAATGGGTTTCATTAGCTTGTGCATATGCATTGTGTCTAGTTATTATCATGTGATTTTAAATGGTATTTATTAGTGAAATCGATAGCTTGTAATATGATATAATGATGGTAATTGAAGTATAAGGATCGATTACTTTATGTTAGTTGTATTAATTCGTACTATAATTATTAATAATAATAATAATGTTTAAATAGCATCGGAACACAGCGTAGTATAGTTGTGTCAATCACTAGTTTGATCCGCCAATTATGTTGAATTGAGAGAATCAAGTGTTTAGTGCATTCTTTATCATAATTTTAATTTATTGAAAAAAGTCTCCGATAATTGATTGATTTTACTTTTTTTTCAGTAAAGCGCACAAGCTTGTTGATTGAGGATTATGTTTCAAAAACTAATCCGAAACTCTTAACAATATATCACTATTTTTTTTTTACAATTGCTGACAAATTTCAGTTGCTGAATTTTATCATTGTTATTTTATGTGGGAATAAAAGGTTATTGTTGTGATGAGAGTTTGATAATTCAAACATTTATTGTTGCGTTTCATTCAAATTAATCAGCTAGTTTGAGTTATTGTTTGTCGACAAATTTAAACAACAACAAATGTTCCGCCAAATTAAGATGATAATGTGTAAATCTAAAGGTTGAACTCACTTTTGCCGAGCATTGTAGTTATTTACTGCCGAGGAATTAAACCTTTATTCAGTACTTGCTGGTTTCGACTAGTTTTTCGGCTTTGTTAATTCGTACTAATGTCATATCTTCATAAAGCTACCTAATTTGCTAATATATCGCTTTTTTAGATTTTACGATCGCTTTGTTTCAATAAAAGGGCACTAACTTACCCATTTTCCGATTTCAAGAAAAGCATACGGATGTTGCATAGCTGTTGACTAATGTCAGCATTAGACAAATTGTCACTCGAATATTTACCAGCATTGCTAGTCATGGTATTTCGTATAGTAGTAGTTCAGTTGGGAAGATGAATAATTTTGCTTTGTTTTTAGATTCTTACTAGTTTAAGCAATGAAATGATTACTACCAAGCCAACCGATTAAACTATAATCGTTCATCATCTTCTGCATTACAGAAAATTTGTTTGCAATTTAATCCTCAAAAGTAAACTTGTTTTTGGCAAACTTGGATTACAACTATCAGTGGTTGTTTGAACTAAGAACACGGTTAAAGATGAGGTCAGCTTACTGCAAAACATGAGAAACAGAATGTCCCCTTCAGAAAAACCAACAAAACTCTCTGTTCTATCAACCAACTAACCTGATAAATGATATACAAAACAAAGAAAAGCCAGTCCATTGAACAGATTTTCTTGCCAATCTTTGGTCTATAAGCTATCCACAATAGAACACCCCAGAAAGGTATAAAAATGGTGGACATCTTCATTGCTAACCATATCCGGAATACATCATCTAAATTACCAAATGTGAACTTCAATATATCCATATTGTAAGCATATAAATTAATCTTAGGATCAATAAAATCTTGTATCACTGTATTTGCTGAGAAGATAATTGTCACAGCGACAAATATATTATAGACAGTACGTATATGAGAAATTTGGAACAATGTAGTTAGCACAGAGTCACGAGTGCGATAATGTTTCGTTGGTAGACTGTGAGCAGCTATCGATCTACCTTCTGCTTTATGCCTGTGAGATAATAAAGGAATGTATACTATATATAAGAAAGACTGTAAGAATAGTATTCAAATATAGTATTATATATATAAATATATGTATTGAAAAGTTCAGTCACTCTTTAACTTGTTAAGACACTTATATAAGAACTAAAAATGTTTCAGCTAGGCAAATTATAATACAAGAACTACACTGTTTACTCAATTTTAAATGTAGAAATCAAAATTATAATCACCAGAACATGCTTAATTTAAAAGTACTAATGGTTTTTCGATAAATTGTGAAGGACTTATTTTCAGATGATTGGGGTTTGTCTCTGACTAGTTTTACACATTACTAAAAAGTTTATCTTAAGGTCAACCCAATGACTGGCTTTTAATATGCTTCACAATTACACAGGGATTGAAGTTTATCATCTGGAAATTTATTTGTTTTATAAAGCACTTAGATGTAGCAAAAACCATTGTATTTATTCTATCTAAATTAATCGAGTGAATTAACAGTTTCAAGAATTTTGGTTTTCGTAGTGTCGATTTTATCGTAATTTTTTCTGTAATATGTTCTTACCATTGGATACTATCGTTCCTGTAAGACTATGCATTCACAACAGTCACCAAGAAAGACTATTCATTTGACTATCATGATAAGATAAACTATAGTTTAGTAAAAAACCAAGAAGTATGACTTCCCTATAAGCTAGAAAGCTATAGTGTTTCCGTCTAACTCGAGGAAAGCAAATTCACAATAGGACCCAATATAATTTTATCAAGTCTTTAGGACTGAGGAAAGCCTATTGATAAGATTTCTGCGTTTTCATCATGTCGATTGATTCAGCTAATTAGTATACAAATGCCTTGGTCCTTTAAGAGCTCTTTCGGAACTAAAATAAGTCACTGGTTACGTCTATAGCTGTAACACTAGTGTTTTTTTCACTGAGAATTCCATTGACACTGTCAGTTTTTCCTCAATGTTTAAAATATGACTGATGTTACTTACTTGCAGCCTAAATCTGTAAATTCATGTTTCTGTAGTTTTAATAATCGGTTAAATTGTGTCATTAAACATACATTAGAAGGTTTAGATAAAAAAAATCCAAAACGAAAGTACTGTTACTGGAGCTCCTGTGAGGTTATTGCTGATCCCAAGCCCGGATAAAGAGGGAGAGTTGGGCACGAGGTTGGTGACCCCACTCCGTAGAAAACTAACTCGCTAAAAAAAGGCTAACCAGAAAAAATAACACAAACCATTTTAACTCTGCACTGAGATTTAGAAGGTCTTCATTCAGAAGAGCCATGACAACTCATGATAGAAGCCGATTCCATTCGGAATTCAGGACGCCGATTCCTCTTCTGACAACCGGAGCAACCATTCTAACAATGTGGGAGACCGAAAGACTGTTCCAAATTGCTGCAGAAATGAAAATATACAACCTGGAGGTGCTTGAAATCAGTGAAAAACATTGAACGAAGGTTGAATAACAGGTACTAGCTTAAGGAGAGATGCTGTTATACTCCAGACATGAAGAAGAAAATGCCTCACACACAATTAATTGCACTGATGCTGTCCAAAGAGGTCGAAAAAACACTGATAAGATGGGAATCTCATGGATCCAGGTACACCAAAGCATCCTTCAAAACGAAGAGAGAGGAAAACACAATCAATATCATTAAATGCTATGCGCCTACGATAAAGATCAATTTTTTGAGAGGATAAATACATTCGTCAAGGAATGACCATCAAAGACTTGACTACTCTGATGGGAGATCTACATTTCAAGGTTGGAATATATATGAAGACATCACGGGATAACATTGACTGATGAGAAGAATGAACACGGTGAGAGATTAGCAAACCTACTGGCCTTCAACAAACTGATCATAGGCGGTGCCATATTCCCACACAAACGACTCGATAATGGTTACACGCCTAACTAGAGCTCATGAAATGCAGACTATAAAAAACCAGGATGGTTTCAGACCCTTATATGGCTGTATAGACCGCATATTCACGCTACGACGGGTCCTCGAAAGCAGATACACATTCAGTCGTCCGAAAAAAGTTGTATTCCTGAAAGTTGAGGTGGCATTCGACTCTAAATATCGTGATGTTCTATGGCGATGTCCGTCATTGGAATGTGTACCAAAGAAACACATTAACCTTGTACAAGCTCCCTACTTTAACACTACAGGTCGAGTGAGAGCTAATGGCAAACTGTCATCAGAATTCACTACTTCAAGTGCTGTCCGTCAGGGATGTCCACTTCCTCCATTGTTATTTAATTTTGTCCTAGATCTGCTTTTCGAAATAACAATATCTTCGTCTGACTTTTCGGGAGTGAACCTTCTACCAGGAGACTCGCTCGTTGACTTGGAATATGCCGATGACATAGTTCTATTTGGTGAAGACGCTGACAAAATGCAGTATTCCGGCAACCCTAAGCAACAATGCAAGCATGTCTGGGATGCGATTGTCCCCATCGAAATGCAAAATATTGCTTCAGGATTAGCTTGTATCGGCACGTGAACTAGAAATCGGAAGTGAAGTAGTTGAGTGTGATGACTGCTTCACTTATCCCGGCAGTCTCATTAGTGCTGATGTGGCCTAGTAGTGACTGACGAAATCTCAGCACAGATACAGAAGGTTTGACTGGCTTTTGTCAACTTGCGTCACTTCTGGCGTAGGCGAGATATCCGTCTGCTAACCGAAGGACGAGTCTACTGCATAGCAGTTCACTCCGTCCTACTATACGGGTGTGAAACATGGCCCGTATGAGTACAGGATATTCGTAAGCTATTAGTATTTGATCATCGGTGTCTTCGGAGCATTGCTCGTATATCCTGGGACAAGCGAGTTGGCATTGCTGTCTTTAAGAAAGGAGTACTTGGTAAAGATGGCAACTCGATTGATGAGGTAGTGAAACTTGATCAGTTGAGGTGGTTAGAACATGTGTCACCTATGCTTAACCACTGACTACCTATTCGAGCTAAGGTCGCCCAAACCAAAACATGGCACATATCCATGATGTCGCTGACAAGTGGACTAAGTCATGTTTGTATGTATCGGGTACCTGGTTGGGGTTCGCGGGATGATGGTAACAAATGGTTGGAGATCTTGAATAACATTGCTCAAAACCGTCTACAGTGGTGCAGGTACATCCACTCTTCGTGTTCCCCCAAAACATGATATGGATTCTTCAACACCTTTATCTTTCTTTCTACAACTGAACGACATCTAGAACTCAAACAAACTATCAACCAACAACAAAGTCAGAATTTTCAATACAATTGTCAAGATACTTCAACTGAATGAAGCGGAAACTTGGAAAACTACCATAGCCATCATCCAGATGATACAAGTGTTCATTAAAAGATGTCTACGCAAAATGCTTTGGATCCGCTGGTCAGACAACATCAGCAACAACCTACTGTGAGAGAGAACAAACCAGATTGTTACTGATGGAGAAATCAGGAAGGTGCGCTGGAAGTGGATAGGACACACATTGAGGAAAGCATTCAACTGAGTCACGTGGCAAGCCCTCATATGGAATTCTCAACGTCACAGGAAGAGAGGAAGACCAAAAAGCACATTAGGTTGAGAAATGGAGACAGACATCAGAAGAATGAACAAAAAATTGGACAGGGTAGGTTGGAGTCTGCTGGTCCTCAGCCTGTGCGTTATCAAGTGTAACTGGCTTGAGTTAGTAAGTTAGTTACCTATAAACGCACACAGCAGCAAACCCAATATATTCACATTTTGCGGTGACTATGTGGATGTTTTTCATTTAATTTAGTCTGTAATATACGAATGATCAGTAAGTGAAGATGTTTTTATTTGGACACACAGCAAGTTAAGGATTAGTTTGCTATTACAAAATGTGCTTTTGTTTACCCTAGCTCGAAGTTATTCTCAACCTCAAACATTATTAGAATTTATCAAGTTTGAATAACGGAATTCACACATCCTAAACGAAAAGGTTGTATGGAGTTGCGGTTTTGTGATTCAGGCACTTGGACTTTAGAACTCCTAGGAGACAGAAACAGCGCACATATTCTTCCCCATAGATGACACTACACTAGAAATCGAAAACGTCAGCAATCCATTCAGACAAATCAGGAACGGCAAATCAACAGCCATACTGACAATTGCGTCTCTGTGGTAACATGATATAGCAACCTGGATTGATGTACTTATTACATACGAAGTTCTACGTTGTAACTGACTGATTGAGTCGTATATTAACTGCGAAGATGTTTCACGCTTGTTCATCAGTATATGGGAGGAAAAAAAGTACAAACAGATTTGAAAGAGGGATACCTCACCAGCTTACCGAGAAAAGTAGATCTCAGTATGTGTGAGAACTACACAAGAAGCGAATTATTGTAAGTAACAACCGAATTTTTTAATTGTGTTATTTAACAGAATGAAAGACTCAGTAGATGTCCAACTTCGATATGAACAGGTTGAAACTCATGAGGTTCGAACATGTTGCGACTGAGGCATGTCACTGAAGACCACTAGTGAACAATCAGTGTAACAGAACAAACTTCCTGATTATCAGAAATTATTCCACAGAGTTGATGTGAACACCTGAAATCTTCTTCAGCAATATGGATCACCTGAAAACATGGACACCAACCTATATAACTTTTATGATGCGCGGATGAAAGGTCTTTTTCGAACTGAATACATTTGATAGATGTACTACAATCGAAAGCTGCTCACTCTCGTTGTCTTTTTTCTTATGATAGGTAACTGAATTTTGAAAACTCACACTTGAGGAGAATCGATTGATACTTCGAACACCTTGAATGCGATAAAACGAACCAAGCTTTGCAGATTACTTAACGTTTTAATCGCATAGACAGCAACAAATGCCTGCAAAAGATGTGAGATCCTGAAATACAAAGCAATGACGACTTTCAGGGTCACATGCGGTAGAGTATCTCTGGAAGAATTGAAAGCATTCCCGTACCCGGACAGCATCATTGATGAATAAAGACGATCTGGTGCAG